GTATTGGAGGTTTGGGGATTCTTCAGCATCTGCTTTAGTGAGGGATTCTGTGCAGAGAAAAAAATCCCCTCCCTCAACCTGCTGCTCACACTCTGGGGGCGCAGCCCGGCACACGTGGGGGTTCTGGGCTCAAGCACACACTGAAGCTGGGTCATGGGGAGCTTCTCCTCACCCAACACCCCCAAGTCCTTCTCCTCAGGGCTGCTCCATCCAGTCTCCCCCACCCTGTGTTTGTGCTTGGGATTGCCCTGACCCAGTTGCAGGACCTTGCACTTGGCCTTGTTGAACTGCATGAGGTTCACACAATGTCTAGTACTTTTACTAATAAAATAAAGTGCTTTTGGAGAGATGGGAAATCCTTAAAATCATGTCAGTGCTACAGGGCCTCCTAAAACAGCAAAATTGGGAGCAACCCAATTCTCTCTTTTGAGTTGCATGCTAATAGCGTATCATGTAGGAGACAGTCTATAAATAAAAGATTGGATTCATTTAATTTTCAGTAGGATCCCAGCTTCTGGAGTCAGCGAAAGCTGCTGTGGTATGGACGTAAACCCAGGGAACGTGGCTATCGAGTTCTAACTCCTGGTGCTTGGCTGAGGAACATTAGTTACAGCTGTAAATATAGGGAGATGGACTTGAGCAGGCTTTGTACCAGGTGATATTACAAATGCGTCAGCATCTCTGCTCTTCTTTTTCACTTTAGCCATTGGTTTATGTGATTTGCTAGCAATGGAGAATATATTTGCTCTGGTTTCATTAATGAATTCGTTAAAATTAATTAATGTAAATGTTTTAGCTTGAAAACTGTGCTGCCTCGGTCTCCTTTTTCAGGTTTCAAATGTGCTCAATACTTCTGGACTGTGTGGCAAATTTACCCAGTTTTAGAAGCGTTTGTTTGCTGCTTTTGGTGACAATGTGGTTGCATGATGCCTCAGAAGATTATTCTGATCCTAGAAGAGGGATGAGCTGCACAAAGTTACAGACTTCTGGTGAGGAGAATTATCTTTAACATAGAAGGGACTGGGTACAACCCCTGGTTTTGGGTTTTCCCTGAGTTTGTGGGGTTTCCATGTGTTCAAATGCACTGTATTTTTGTTATTTTTAAAGTCAAGCTGAAAAAAATGGAAAAGAACATGCTGGAATTTCTAAGAGTAGATTGTTTCATACTAGATTATTTTACTGAGCTGACAATCACAATTATAAACAACCTATTTTATCCATTGGTAGCATGTTTCTAATCTCATGTGATCTCACTGGGGTAATAAAGTCCTTTAGAATAAACCAGTTTGATCTTGGCATGGGTTGGTGCTCTTTCTCCAATCAGCTTTTAAGCCTGTGCTGTTTTTTATTTGCATTAAGCTGTCTAACCAGTTTTTTTTTGCAAGCCTAATGGATTAAGTTTTACTTCCCGTTTCCTTAGCAGGGATGAACTATCCGAGTGCTTTTTCTGCTGTTTACCTTCGGAGCAGACGGTTCTTGTCCTTCTAGTTCTCTTCCATAGAGCCTGGTACACAGTGTCTGCTGTGATACTAGGAAATGTTAAAACACAGCCTATTTTTCTTCACTTTTGGACTGACTTTAACTGGAAAACCTTTTGGGATAAAAGGTAAGATTTCAGTTTTTGTTATGTGTTCAGAAAGTTTCTCCAAGTCTTCTCATGCTCTCTGTCCTGATCATAATGTTACACAGCTTTGAAATCAAGTCATGGCTCTCCCCAGGCATTAGGCTATTAGCTGACCTGCTAATTGAGAAAGTAAAGAAAAAGGTGTCTGGGAAGGATTACAGGTTTGAAGCTTTTTATAGTTGAGCTCTTTGTGGTTTTTCCTCCAGAATGTAGTAGGTATGTAAATACATCACCTTCTACACAGGACACTCGTTGTGAGAACTGCACTTTTCTCTCATCAATAGTAAAGACTGTAGAAAAAGATTTCTTCTTCAGTAACGCAAGAGAAATCCCTTTGTTTTGTTTTAGCTCCTAAATTAACTCATTTCCATTTATGATTTGGCTTCACATATTAGATTTAGATGTAACACCTGAAATAAGTATTTCTTAGTGCTGTTTTTATAATGTGCATTAAAGATGGTTTCCTGCTCTCAGGTGTCAAAATATAAACTGTTAGAACTGCATTTCCCCTGTTAGTTCCACATACATGTAACTCATGAAACAGAATGGATTTTGTGACTTAGATAGCAAAATTTGCTGAAGATTAAGAGCAAAGAAGTAAATGTCGAGTGACGATCACTCAACTGAGTCGTTGCAAACCTGTTTGCCAATAGCAACTTCCACATTCTGGTTGCAGTGGCAGCCTTTACTGTTAAATATATGCTGCCTGCACCTAGCTTTTTAAAATCCTGATGTTATCTAGTGGGTAGAGATCACCATTACACTGAAGAATCCTCCTCCTTGCTTTGAATGGGTGATTCTGTAGCTCCTTCGTAATTATAAATTCCTTTCATAGACACGTGGGAGGCTGAGGTTGACTTTGGACTGCTATAAATGAGAAGAAATCTCTTTGTTTCCTTATACAAGAACAGTTTAAGAAGGAAGAAATTACTTTCATTCTTAAAACCCATGTTACTATTGATTAAAAGCAGTGGGTTCGCCTCTGTTGATTGCACTCAAACCGGACTGATGAGTAGACAGGAAAAAGGAACATGAATTCAGATTCACACAATTATAAATAAAGTCAGTAGAGATTGGTTTTGTCTTTATAAACCATTTACCTAAACCCAGATACTCAGCAGACTTCTTATCTGTCGCTTCCTGCATTAGCATGATATTCTGGAGATAATCCTGATAACAGTGTGAAAGGCTACAAAGCTTTTGCAGGGGGATGACTGTGGCTGGAACAAACAAAATACAGCAATGTCAGGCATTGACTGGAGGCAACGCTGTGAGCCAGGATTATACACACAGCAAGTGGCAGAATTACTTCCAGAGGACACCTCTTAAGTATTCCTCATTCAGGGTGAGAGGGAAAGGAATACGAGTAAAGGGATTTAAATGGAAGGAGAGGGCTGAAGAAGTAGTTTGTTTATTCAAGCAAAGGACTATTCAAGAAGGAGTAGAGACATGAGCAAGAGGGAGAAGTGAACAAGTGCAGGACATAACAGTAACTGGGAGGCAATAGCACAGCAAATGGCTCTGTAAACAGTAAAAAACATTCCCCAGTTTATTTAGGGGCTGAATATATTCTCCTGGAGATACAGTATTCTCCATTTCTCTATCAGGCTCTGAAATATCCTGGCAAGGTTGGATCCACCATTCAAAATAACTGTACTGTGTGTCCATAAGTCACTCCCACAGAGCCCTGCTATGGATTCATGGATCAGCATGTCAGATTAGAAGTGTAGATCATAGAAGAAAAACTGTTTCAGAAATGAAAGACAAAGTTAATAATCCAGAATATGTGAGGATCCAGATTGTGTTTAAATCGTTCAATAGTTTCTTTTGTGTTCTTGAGACCTCAGCTGTTTCTTCATCACTATGAGAATATCCACTGAATACAGGAAGGGATTTTTTATCATTACTCATTTTTCTTGTTCTTGGGATTCTCTATTATGTTCCTGTCATATTGGTTGGGGGATTTATGGTTTTTCAATAAATAATTAATTTGGTTTGATATTGTCTAGATGAAGGAATGAGAAAAAAATTGAGCCATTATCCCAGTTTATAAGAGAAGTAACTAAGACCAAGAGTTAAAGCCAAGATTGCAGCCAGTTTGGGACATCCTGTTTAAGAAAACTTTTGCTTGAATTTGTAGGTTTTAACACTGTACATCAGTTGTGTTTGGGATGGTGCAGTCATTAGCCTTAAATACAGTCAAAACAGCATTTCTATAGAGAACGAGGCCACATACATCTAGTTTCAATTCTCAGAAATGAAGAGTAACTTGGCCATGAATGAAAATATTGATTTCTGTGACTTTCCCAGCATAATCCAAAAGCTCTTTATTTTCAGGTGTATCTTCTGAACAGCCATCCAGACTTTCTGCATTAGAAATAATTATTCCTCATCTGACAGGCAGAGAAAAACATCACCCATTTTATCATGAGGTTGGTTATTCTGTCTGATTTTTTCCTCTGATGTTGCAGTTTTGCACAATATGAATATTACACACACAGAGTGTATGGTGTATATAGATTATTTTTGTGAAGGAATGTGCCCCACACTATCTCTTCAGATTCTTTGTGTTTTCAACTACTTTTGAGTAAATTTGTTCCCACAAAGGTCTGCAATTGCACTTTGAGTACGCACCATTCAAACTTCTAGTCCTTTTAACAGCCTTGTCAGATGGAAGTGAGAAGGAACATGAAGAATATTTCCATTTCCTCCAGGTCAGATTAGATCTTGAACTTGACTAATGTCTATGCTGTATAGGTCCTTCTGCTCATTGTACCTGGTCTTTGGCTAACCAGAGGATTTCAGCCATGTAGCACCTAAAGGGCTGATGCTCACTTAGTAGAAATGGTCCCACAGAGTCGCATAGATGAATGAGTTAAAAGAGAATGATCTGAGCCTTAGTTCTTCAGTTCTGAGGTCACTTACCTTTGTGCTAGATATCGAGTTCAATTACTGCAGTAACTGATAATGAAATAGCATTAGTCATCTTTATGCAAAGCTATTAGGGAAGGAAGAATCTGTGAGTCATTTACCTAAGGTGTACACAATGTGGTAGTTGGGTAAAGAGTGCATTCATGTGCTGTGCCCTTCTGTCTTCTAAATGAAAATGTATAAATAAATAGAATTTAAACTTTCCATAGGGAACAATATAGAGTGTGCTGCTGAGACTGAAATATAAAAGGCACAAGGGTTAGGAATCTGTGTTTTGGTAGGTACTTAAAACATACATAGTAGTTGGACCCCTGTTCTCAAACAAAACATGGAACCAACACAACCAAGTAGAAACTCTCCTAATTCAGTGATATCTTTTGTTCTGTTTTCAGGAGCTTCCTGATGATAATCTTTCTTACTCAGTTAAAACCAGAAATGGAACATATCTCCTAAAATTGAAGAGAAACAAGTATGCTATAGAGTGTTCTAAGGAATCACACCATTTTGGGAGTTAGCTGCATATGGATAAGTGTTTTTATACTGCAAAAATCCAGAAGAAACTATTTAAATGGCAGATTGTACTAATTTCAAAAGGACTCTGTCAAACAGAGTCTCTGTTATGATACTGTTTATTTACATAGTATTATTATTATAAAAGTAAAAAAGAATATTTTTTTCTAGATGTGAAGAAATGTATTTTGATTATTTATTAGCAGCACAGGATAGTACATTTCAGAAAATCCTTATAGAACATTAGGATTCATCTCAGTATTACCTTCTTACTACTGAGGGGAGGGTTGTTAGCCATGTGGTATGTGAAGAAATGTGTCTGTTGCTGTTGTTCCTCATTCCTGAGCCTGTAATAGCCCAGGCCCTGATGCAGCACAGTCTGCTCAGATCCTACTCTATGGATATTTTAGTTAAAATATTTCAAAATAACTTATTTTCCAAGTAATTCAGCTCATTTTAAGGTATTTTGTTTCACATCCATAGATTTTAATATGATTTAGCATGAGTGTGCTGCTAACAGTTTGTATTTCTTACTAGGATTCCTGACTTATTTCTTGCTTTCTAGACTGTTAAAAGAGCAGTAGTTTATTTTTGTTTCCAGAAAGCTTGTTAGTGAAGACTTTATGCTCTACACATATGGGGAAAATGGGAAAGTGGAGGCAACACAATCAAAAAATGAGGTATTGTACGTAATAAAATTCCCCTTTTATGTCAGTTTCCTCAAAATGGGGAAGCCCAGCTTTATAAATTGAAGGAGATATTAACAGTTTAATAGAACTGAGGACAACAAGGATGTGTATGCATCTAAATGTATTGTCAAAGCAAAAGCAAATGCACAACCATTAATTCTGAGTGCCTTCGTATCTCTATAATAGGGCAGTGAAAATAGGCTACATTTTTGGCAATGAAAGGAAAAATACAAGTGATGCACATAAAGCATCTACAAAAGAAAAACATATTTGTCTGGAAACAGGTTTCTGTGAGTTTTCACATTTGCAGCATTTCTGTTTAACAGTTACCACTGGTACAAAACATGAGGTTCTGTGTTTTATGAGGGAGTGGGCTGTTTACGGTGACACAGCATCACTGTTTTCCAAGGTGTGAAAGGAGATGCCAGGAGATTATGCGAAGACTGAATTTGAGCCGCCTGGTAAGGTCTCCTTTGCACAGTATGCAACTAAAGGCGCAATGGCAGCATCAAAGCTTTGTAGGTTTTAGGTACCAAACCGACCTTAAAAGTACTCTTGAATTTCATTTCAACTTTAAACTGTATGTGAACTCGGTGAGACCTAATGGGGTGCTTTGAGCATGGGAGATCTTCTCAGATCAGCCTTTGAGAAGAGTCTGTTTAAGAACAGGGTGAGCAATGTAGGTGAAAAGATTTTGCTAAAAGATGGTGATAGGTTAAACTAAAAAGCTGGTTGGTTTTGAGAAGCAAGGGACCTGTTGTAGGTACTCACGTCATGTTGTATCTTACTCCAAGAAGGCTGGGATTACTTCTAGTACAGGGAACTCTGTAAATTTGTAACAGCCAGCCTTCATGTCATGCAAATACAAAGGTTAGTTAGAAAATAAGTTTGCATTTGAAGGCAACAACCTTATTTTGTCATTAATTATGTGGTTTTGTTGCATTTCAGACACACTGTTATTATCATGGCACTGTTGAAGGAATTGCTGACTCGGTGCTCGCTCTTAGCACATGTGATGGCCTCAGGTATTACCTTTTCCTTGTTACTTCAGGGTATTTCATTGTGCAGTATCAATGTAAAACAGTAAAATTCATCATACAGCTGAAAACCACCATCCTATCTTGCAAATCCTTTTACTACTTTTAATATTTCACCTTTTGATGAAGTTGAAACTCTCTACAGGTTTTATAGTTTCCCTCAATGACCCCTTTTTTCCCTTTTTCCAAAATTCCTTCACAGAAAAAAGATAACATGAGAGAGAGCATAATCTAAATACAGGCAAAACACAGGCATGAACTGAAGCCTCTATTACTTGATGCAAATGTCTTGTCCAGAGACACCTTTGTAGAAGAAACACAATCTGATGGAGCTTTCACTGAATTTAAAATACTCAGTCATAGAATCCCAGGCTGGAAGCAACTTCAGGGATCATGAGGTCCAACCTTTCTTGACAAGAGCATGACCTAGACTAGATGTCCCAGCACCCTGTCCAGCTGAGTCTTAGGTGTCCAACATTGGGGAGATCATTCCAGTGGCTGGTTGTTCTCATGGTGAAAAATTCTCCTTGTGTCCAGTTGGAATCTCCCCAGGAGTAACTTGTGCCCATCACCCCTCATCTTCTCCATGGGACTCCTTGCAAAAAGGGAGTCTCCACCTTTGTAGCCACCCTTTACATACTGGAACATGGGGGTAAGGTCTGAGCCTTCTTTTCTCCAGGCTGAGCAAACCCAGCTCTCTCAGCCTTTCGTCTTTTTTTTTTTACCAAATTTGAAACAATTTTGTGTGTGTTTCAAAAGCAATAAAATTACCTTTATTTGAGAATCATGCAGGGACCAGATTAATGCATAAAGTACAGTGGTTTGTCCCCACAGAATCGGTCCATATGAGCTGATAAAATGAGACAGCACACAAAGCACATTGTGCAGATTAGAGTGTGTCCATGCTCCCCGGTGTTCACTGAGCTGGGCTCTTTAGCTGGACTTTGGATATACCTGTTGCATGTAGCAGCCTTGTTCAGTCTGATGTCTTTTTGACCAGCAGGAAGAAGCAATTGGAATATCTTTCATGAATAGTATCACAGTGAGATGCTACTCACAACAAATAATGACACTTTCTGGCATTCCTTTAAAGGAAGAATGAAATGGTTCAATGGTATTTCAGCTAATGATGGATCTCACTAAGCAGTGGTAAATGCTCCAACCTGGCAGTGTTCAAGGCCAGGTTGGACAGAGCCTTGGGTGACATGGGCTAGTGTGAGGTGTCCCTGCCCATGGCAGGGGGTTGGAACTGGATGAGCTTAAGGTCCTTTCCAACCCAAACCATTCTGTGATTCTACAAATCTATGATTTTGGCTGTTCTGCAAAACTTACACAAGCTCAAATCCTTTGGTTACTCTGTACTCACATATTTGAGGATCTTCTTTCACGAGTATTAACTAGAGAATTCTTCTTCTAAGTATAGTTTGAGATTCTGGAAAACAAGATAATAGCTTCTGAAAGATTCTGGTCCAGCAAATGGGCAGGGACCAGGTGTTCATGAGCCATGAACAAATGCACTCACCAGTGCAATACTGCTGTTGCCCTCAAAAACACCCTGGTGATTGCTTTTAGCCTCTCTTTCTGTCTTTGAAAAGATCTTCTTCTAAAATACCAGATGACTTTAGCTGCATGGGGCCAGGAGCGAGACTAGAGATAAGGACTAAAAGAGACCCTTTGCGTCACTACAATCCAGACTCATTCAGTAACAATTTGGCTTGCTTTCTCCTTTCTCTCTCTTTTCTGACTCAAGGAACCCATATTGTGCACAGTCAAGCATTTTAAATAAGTTCTGTTTTGCCTTTTGGGATCTTGTTGGCATTTGAGCTTACACGGTCTATTAAGATAATTTAAGATAATAATTTATTTCAAGCTAGTGGTATGAACAGTTCTAGTTTCTAAATATCCAGGTGTCATTCACTCACCTACTCATAACCACGAGGGAAAACCTGTGGAGTAATTTTTTATTCTTTTATGATTATTAGAGGAATTCTCTTCATTGATGGCAAATGGTATGGAATGGAGCCACTCAACGCATCCAGCACATTTGAACATGTGTTTTACCAGTTAGAAGATATGCAGGATATCCCCTTCCAGTGTGGTGTGCTGAACAGCAGCCTTCATCACGAGATGTTTGTGAAGCAGCCTGTGAAATACACCTTTGTACCAAACAGTACCTCTAGCAGGGAGAAGCTTTTGAGGGTAAATACATTTCTGTTTCTCTCTTGAGAGCTGCAGTCCAAGCCATCTCCTTGGTCTGTCCCAGCAGCCAAGGGGCTCCAGAGCTCTTGCTTGGGCATGGTGTCACTGCAGGTGGGTTTGCCCTGCCAGGCCACTTCCTTGTTGTCTTCATTTTCATGGCCTTCAAACTGGTGGGAGTATTGCTAAGGACATCCTGAAACAGAAGAACAGCACAATGGGAACTTAACATTTAAAACTTGAAGCAATCCTTTAGCAGAAAAGCAGAGGTCTGCCCAAGACAGTCATGGGCATGACATGAAAGGCATGAAGCTGCCACTCAGTTCATGCATCCCAGTGTCTGACTAGATGTGAATTACTGATATATAGGTATTAGTTGGGAAAAATAAAGCAAATTGACTTTTGAGACACATGAAATTAAAACAAGGAGAAAGATAAGTAATAAACCCTGAGCTTGTTAGTTCTTACATTAACTTGTGCTTTCTGATTTGCAGAAGCGGCGAGCTGTCCTGCCACAAAAAAGCTATGTGGAATTATTTGTGGTTGTCGATAACAACAGGGTAATGACATCATCCAATGCTAAATACATTTAATACTTCATTAATTTCTTTCTCTGACATTCTTATATGGTATTTTACAGTTTTTGATGAAGAAATCTGATCCTGCTGCGGTGCAAAAGGAAACTGTTGAGCTGATTAATTATGTTGATGGGGTAGGTCAGACACATTGACTTGATTCAGTAGTTTCTACTTTATTATGGTTTTCAAAAGAATAGCTAATGCAATTCTGAGACTGTGTTTGGAAGTTGTACAACCATTTGTAACACATTTAAGGCACATCATGAATCTATACACAAGTCTTGTAGAGGTGCAAGCAGAGGGGGAGATGCAAGATGCTTCTTAAACCACTTCTCTGCACTCCCAGACTTTAACTGCTCCAAGAACATGAGGTCTCTGGTATCTTTTACCTTTCTAGGAAGAGTATTTCTCATGTTTGTAGTTTTTTATCAACAATTCCATAAGGTCTCTGATGATCTGTTCACGGTTTCTCCTTAAGACAGACAGACAGCTAAGAAAATGAAGGAACATCATCTTTCCATCTTCTCCAACTGAAGGATATATTTAGGTACCTTCATGAAGTAGATTGCCTTCAGTCATATCCTCTCATTTAGTTTTATATTATAAATATATACAGTTAATAATTCATAATTTTCATTTATAAATACAAATATTTTACATTTAATTTCACATAAACAAAAGTTATGTCTCAGTCACTATGTTAAACTTACTGTTTACTCAGTCGTAGTGATATAATCTTTCATAATTCAGTTAAAACAGACTGATGGATAGCAATTATCATTATGTTTTTTCCAGATGTATGGAGCATTAAACATCCAGATTGTTCTGGTTGGATTAGAGATCTGGACAGATACAAACCACATATCTGTGATGGAAGGTTCAGCTGGAGATGTACTCAGTAGATTTGTTTCTTGGAGACAGAAAGATCTTCTTAAACGATCAAGAAATGATGTTGGCCATCTCATCATGTAAGTTTTCCTTCAGTGGAAGAATTACTCATGCTGCCAGTGTTGCTGATGTGTATGGTATAGAGTTGTGTATGAATGCAAATACAACTGGAATAAAATTCACTCAACTTCCAAACTTTCAACCTGGAAAAACGACGAGAAACTATAATGAATTCTTTACAGATAATCAACTTGAGGTGGCTCTGCTTGAGCAGACCAGATGACCTCCAGATCTCCCTTCCAACCTCAACCATTCTGTGGTTCTGTGAACTCAGAAACGCTGACATGGCAGACTTGGGTGACATCATTGTTTTCAAGCTATGTTATTCAGATATTCATTATTAATTATAGTGAAACCCTGATATGGTGATAAAATTCTTCGTGACTTCAAGACCAAAATTTGCCTTACAATATTTGCTTCAAACTCCTCAGTGTCTTTTAGTAGAACTTTCAAACATTCAGCCCGTCTTTCAACACCACCTTCAAACTGCTTTTGTTGCAGAGGGAGAAGCTCTTACAGTGGATCCATTGGAATGGCTTTTGTGGGTACCGTCTGCTCACAAGTCCAGGGAGGGTCAATCAGCACTGTAAGTACACAATGTTGTGGTTAATGGAAGAAACTAGCACAGGAGCTGCTAAACTATCACAGACATCCTGCTAGTGGAACAAGTGAAGGCTTTCCCCTGTGCATTTACAATACCCAGAGTTGTAGATACTGCTACTGCCAGCCATTGTCTCCAGAGGTACCTTCCAGAACATCCTGACAAATAATGTGCCCTCTGCAGACCTATTTGGTCAAGTCACCCCGGTCTTGGAGACTAGGCTTGGAGTTGTATGGTTCCTTTCATGGGGTTTCATATAAAGACTTGTGCATATTGAAAGCTTTCTGAGTATTTCCCAATTTCTCTCATCTCTCTTCACCACATTCCTATCCATTTGGCTGATTTAGTCCTGAAACAACTTTTTGATCACCTTTTGTAATTCATCTAACTCAAGGTTAAGAAAACCCATCCTCATACCGTTAAGGTTCATAACCACAGTGTTTTAGGGATGGGAATAGAGCTACAAAATAAATGTGTATTTTTTTACACTTTACATGGATAGACAGTGAACATAACACACTAGATTCTCAAGTGTCTGGGTTTCCCCACAGTAAGGCAGTAAAGTGACAAAAATTTTAAACATGGCAAAATTAGTAAGAAAGCATTTTTTTCCTCCATGTCCTTTGGGGCAGAAACATATCTCCAGAGGTTCCTGTCCTTACAGTATGGACACCACAATACCATGGACAGTCTCAGAAGCAGATTCTGTTCCTTATCAGGACATTAAACAGAACAGAACATCAGTTCTTTAACAGTGCATTTGTCATTGAAGACTCCATTGAAATCAGTGTCATGAGTGATTAACTGTGCTAGAATGGAACAGAATAGAATTATTTCAGTTGGAAACTACTTACAATGATTGTAGAACCATAGATTCACAGACTGGTTTGGGTTGAAGGGACCTTAAAGCTCACCCAGTCCCAACACCCTGCCATAAGCAGGGCCACCTTCCACTAGAGCAGGTTGCTCCAAGCCCCTGTGTCCACCCTGGCCTTGAACACTGCCAGGGATGGGGCATGATCATCTGGTCCAGCTGCCAACTGTTAATATTCAGAACATGATGCTAATGGAAGGAATACAAAGAGTGGCAGAACCTGAAAATAAAGTGACAAATTGTCTGTTCTTTTGCTCTGCAAAACGATTCCGTATTCTCTCTTCACAGCATCTGAGACCTTTGGGGCTTGACTAAATCAATAGTAACACAGTATTTTCTTTAGTTTCACCATTTTTTTAACACTGGTTCTCTCTATTAGTTGAATCATGACAATGTGTTACGTCATGCTACAGTAGTTGCTCATGAATTGGGGCATAATCTTGGAATGAAACATGATGACACAAGGTGTCCTGCATCCTATATTATGCACAGCACAGATAAGTAAGATTTCCAGTTGCTTTATTTCAATAATTGTTATTTGTCTGCAGTGGCTATGCCTTAGAAGCTGTGAAACTCCCAAGAATCTTGAAGAACTTTTGTGAATGGGGAGTTGTTTGAAAGGTTTAATCACAGAGGTGAATTCACTGATTTAGGACTTGACCATTTTAATTTATTTGAAACTTTATCTTTCTTTCCAATCCAGTCATTTTTTATTTGTAGCATTCCTAAAAACTGGATTTTCTTGATTATTTATTTTAATGATAGTGTGTTGCTGGGGTTTTTACCCTGCTGAGAACTGAGAATCCTTCACGTGTATTCACTGGATTTGTGCAAATGTGTATCCTTCACACACAGTCTTAACAGTTAGTATAAACCAAACCTCTCAGCTTATGTTTCTGTGAGTTCATTTGTTCTTTGGCTTCCCCTTAAGAGAAAAAGATCATACTATTTTATTTATCTACATTTGTATTAATAAATCAGGGTAACTGAACACTACTATAATATTACTATAATAAGATGTATTCCTGAGTTTTTAGGGATTCCAAGTTAAGGTGTATGTCTTTCTGGAGAGTATTTTTGAATCAAGCATATTCAGACTCATTACACACAAGGAATTTCTAAGGCCTGTTTTATACAGGACACCAGAATGGATAATCTGATGGTCTCTGGCTTCTGAAAGTACTTGCATTTATGTTGTAGATATTATTTTTAACTTCTAGTACTGTACTCTATTGCAAAATAAAGTAAAAATGAAGTATCTCATGATCTCACAGCATTATAAAACATGCTATTTATTATAGATTGACAATATTTTAAGGGCTTGAGTTGTATTATTCCCTGTAAGCAAAATACAATAAAAAAATAATATTATGCTTTCCAGTGGATCCAGGAATTTCAGCACTTGCAGTGCTGATGATTTTGAGAACCTTATTCTCAGTGGAGGAGGAAACTGCCTCAGAAATCCTCCCATAACAAGTAATGTTTACAAGGAACCTGTCTGTGGTAATAATGTGGTTGATAGCAACGAAGAATGCGACTGTGGCAAACCAGAGGTAATGAATGAAATTCAACTGGATGCTTGCTGTATATTATTGTATTTGTTGATACATTATTACATTTATTGTATAATGCTGGCCTTTCAGTATATCTGAGGAGTTTTCCTTGTAATTTTACATTTTGGCAAGCAATATGAAGATAAATTTGAGTAAAAGCCTAAAATCACTGTTAGTGGAAAAATAAGATAAGGGAAGGAATGATTAAGAAGTAAAACCCTGTGTGTTCTGCTTCTTTTAGTGTCCATTTAAAGTGTAAACCTATCCTATACCCCTGTGCCATAACACATCAAAACACAGATGTTTTTCTGATGACTTGTGGTAAGAAAATACAGCCAAACTGTGTGCTGGTTCCTGTTAGAGCAGAAAGCTGTCAAGCTCAGAACACACAAGAGAGACTGTTTAAAGTTTGGCTTCTCCATGCACTTGGTTTGATCATGCAGTTTCCTAGCTATAGAGCAATGTAAAAATGTTGTGTCCCCTTGTCCATGGTTGTCCTTCAGGAATGTACTAACCCTTGCTGTGATGCTGCAACCTGCAAACTCACGCCTGGATCGCAATGCGCTCAAGGACTGTGCTGCAAAAATTGCAAGGTAGGCTGTTGTATTAAGCTAAATTGATACTATTTACTAGTATTTTTTAATGTTTGAGAAGAGCTCTCTGTGATTCTATGACATACTTTCCCATTATTGAACTGTGTTCACCAGCAGAAAGCATGTAAGCAGCGGCTTTGTGTCCAACAACTCTCAGGCAGTAGCTTAGAAATGGAATGTCACCTCTGTGTCACCCCTCCTAGGAGGCAGAAGCAACCAGGGGACTCAGTAGTAGTGATCTCCATTATGCAACACCAGGATTCTCCCAAATCTGTGACAGCTGGCTGCTTTTATATTGGTACTTGTATACACATTTGTATGACCTACCCAAGTCCTCTGCAGGCTCAGCTCATGAACTGTAGCTACACCATATGAAAATGAGGGAAGTTCAGGATATTTGTTAGATAACTGATCCCAAAAACTGCTTTGTCTTCCTTAAAATCCCAAAGGGCTCCCAGTTGTCATTGTTTCGTGTTAGCACTTCTGCTGTTGCAAAATAAAAGTAGGGTGGCATTCCTCTCTGGTTCCAGTTTAAAGTGGCAGGAGCAGAGTGCAGATCAAAAATGGACTTCTGTGACCTACCTGAATACTGCAATGGAAGCAATGCCTACTGCCCAGAGGATGTTTATATCATGAATGGTTACCCGTGCAGCAACATGAAGGCTTATTGCTACTATGGAGTATGCCAGAGTTTTGATTCCCAGTGTGAATCTATATATGGAAAAGGTATGTTGATAATCTAATGTGAAAAGACTTGTAGCCTCCTAATAGATATTCCCAATATTTCTTTTTCTTTCTCCTAAGACTGTAGTAGCTTACTAAGATTCACTGCTTTTTGTACAGGGGCACGAAAAGCTCCTGATGCATGCTTTGAAAGAGCAAATATTAAAGGAGACAGGTTTGGAAACTGTGGAATGGAAGGTGGAGTGTACAAGAAATGTCCTGTTCAGTAAGTCACCACCAAATAAAAGCTCACCCCAAAATCTACAATGGAAAAAATACATATTCTGTTACAAACTCTTAAAGCATAAGATTTGAAAGAGGATTTCCTTGAAATGCAAGCTAAAAAGTTTGACTGGATGGTGTATTTGCACTGAAACTGGGGGGGTTTTGCTGTTCACCTTGTTTCTGAGTGTCTTTCATTCAATACAGGCATAGTCTGTGTGGCAAGCTCCAGTGCACATCTGTTAGTCTTCAAAACCTTCCTGCCTGGAGCGTTGTCAACAACGCATCTGGGGTTTTATGCTGGTCTTCTGACTTTGACTTAGGATCAGATGTTCCTGATCCTGCTCAAGTTCATGATGGAACAGCCTGTGGAGAAAATAAGGTAGGATGAATCACAGCAGCATTACAGAATGTATTTCACCAACTGGGAAGTTCAGAACTTTCAAAATCATTACGCAGCTCTCTTTATTTGTGTGCCATAAGGAAAAATTTGCTTTTTGAGATACATGCACACAATTAGCTCTTCAAAAACTGGGATGCTACAAACCAGTGAGCTACACTATCAGTTATTCAAATTACTCCACCAAAATGCATCCACAGACTTACCTGCAGCAAATCCAACTCTAAAACTATGAAGTACTGAATGTTCTGTCAGCCCTTTTTCTGGACATCTAAGTAAAAGCTGTAGACTTGAAAGCACATACATTCATCTGTTTATACAAGGATGGGATTTTTTGAAGTTTGGACTTTGAAAGACACTCACTGCTTTTTCCAGGCCTGTGTGGATTTTGAATGTGTTGATGCCAGTAATCTGGGCTACAGCTGTGATGTAAAGCAGCAGTGTCATGACAACGGGGTGAGTAAAGGATGTCTTCATGCCCTGTTTCTAGAAGACAAAGAGAGGTGCAAAATCCCTGCATAAAAGTAATAACCAGCCAGATGGCTTTGGGGTTTTCTCATCTGTATTAAAAGTTGAGTCCAGCTTTTTATCTGTAATTCATGTTGTCAGTACACTGTAAACCTCTTAGCACTGACATTGAAAGACATTTCTTCTGAATTTCCCTAGGGAATTTTCTAGCATTAGTGAGCTGTGGAACTGTAAAAGGAAAATATTCCTCTGAGGAGGACGTGATTGCTCACTCACATATGTCTCCATGAAAGATCAAAATGGAGTCCAAGGGTTTTAAATCTGAATTATTTGGACTATAATCTATTGCAGGCAAATAAAAACCCAAAGGTTAATGTCTACAGAGAATTAACTTGTCTCAGTATCACTCTGTATTTTGGGATGTTACAGAGGGGGAGAGCTTATTCCCAGTTATTATTTTGCGTACTTCTACACAATATTATGCAGTATTTCGTGTTTCCACATGCAATCCTTCATGTGGAACTCCAAATTACACTGGAGGTTGAAAGCAGCCACTTCCAGAAAGGCAGTTGTTTAACTAATCCCTGTTGTATTGACTGTAGGTGTGTAACAACAACGGGAATTGCCACTGTAACTCTGGATGGGCGCCTCCGTTCTGTAACCGGTCGGGCTACGGGGGCAGTGTTGACAGTGGTCCAGCTCACATAGGTAAGATAGTGAAAACTGGCCTTCATTCTGTCCCCTAAGGCTGATAATCTACTACTAACAGGGGGGTTCAGTCTCTTTTCAACTGTGTTTTCCTACTGCATGGAACACTTAATCATGGACTAATTTGAAGAGCAGATGTTTTTATTAGAGCTGTGCATTTGCAGATGTCAAGGAAGATGGTCCAAGGGAGAATCTGAGCTCTACTTTGTCTGAGCTAAAAAGCAATACATTAGTTGTTCAGGATTACTGTTACATTGTTTAAATAGTTAGATATTTAGGTATTTACTTAGGTATTTAGAAGAGAGTTCTGATAAAATGGATTTAATAGACGAATAGAAGTGGTGAATGCTCCAACCCTGGCAGTGTTCAAGGCCAGGTTGGACAGAGTCTTGGGTGACATGGTCTAGTGTGAGATGTCCCTGCCCATGGCAGGGGGTTGGAACTGGATGATCTTAAGGTCCTTTCCAACCCGAACCATTCTGTGATTCTATGAAACCAGCAGCCTTTATACATGGAAAGGGTCCCACAGAAATGGAATGGTTAAGGAGGTGCAGCCAGCAGCAGTTGTAAGCAGCTTGTGTAAAAGCCAACAAATTCTGGAAAGGGAAAACGGAGTAGATTTTGCTGGTCTTTACACCAGAAGACCACACAAAATGTTTTCCCTCTCTATGTTTACAAGCAATGTTCATCATCTGTAGCTTTGTGAGGCAAAGAACAATTCATACTTTATCAAGTTTTACCAAATTCATATTTTGGAAAAGGTAAAAAATGTTTTCTATTTCTTAAAGGCTTAGGAAGGCCAAGAAAAGGTGCTGATCAATTGTGGGTCAGGAAACACAAAATTAGTTTGTTTGCTTTAGAATTCCTAAAAAAAATATGGAAAAGAAAAAAGTTTGTGTATCATACAACATGGGGTGGGTAAGGCAGAAAGAACTTCTAATAACATAAGGCCAAATCCTACTTTTCTGATCATAGAATCTATAAATTTCAGTGAAGTTACTAGGTTTTATCTATTATAATTTGAAGGTCGTAGTTCTTACAACAGAAAGGTGTTTTTAGCAGAAAAAATGCTTTAATATGAGGTTACATAAGATTATTACTTTATGTTATTCCAATTCTTTTTCTCTAGATACATCACTTAGGGATGGTCTCCTTATTTTTTTCCTCCTTGTGGTGCCAGTTGTAATCATGACTGTAGTAGCAGTCATTAAGCGTGATGCAATAAGAAGGAAGTTTTGCAGGAAAAGGAGAAGACAACACAGGTATTTCACTTACTACAAATGGCTGTTTCAACACCTGGGAGCAGGCTCCCAAGTCATTTAGCAAGCTGGGTACATGCTTTACCTATACAAAGAATTCCAGCCCACCAAAAGGAAAACAACATCCCAGCTAATAGTAGTAGTAGGTCACGTAGTAGCCGGTCCTCTGCTATTAAGTAGTTTAACTCCAATACTCCAGTTGTCGGTTCTGAAGCATTTTTTCCCCTCATACACTGCACTTTCCTAATTGTTATTGATAGTTGTATTGTATGGACAGAGGGGCACATACATGGAAATCACTTGTCTAGGCTGGAAAGGGCTGGAATTGGATGCAGAATCCTGATCTCGCAGCTGTAGCCTCGTCCCTGAAGGTGGTTAAGCCACATGAGGATTTTCCTGATGACGTGGTTTTTATTTCAGGGATAACAACGTGGAGCAACCAAAGCAAAATAACACACCAAGTCGTAACACGAGAAGTAACCAGGTAAGATGGACACATGCTTGCATTAGTTCATGTTGACTAATCCAAATTACACCATGCCTCTTCTCTAATCTAGGTACTAGTGACTTTTTGTCTTTCTGATACACTGAAACCAGCTGAATTTCCAAGTATTTAAAATCATTTATAAATCATTAGACAAGATTTCAGCTTGGGTAAGCATGAGCTTTATTGCCTGCCCTGTTAACACAGGCTGTGAGTAGTATGGAATGGAACAGGCTGCTACCTAACAGAGCAGCCACAGGTTAAACTCTGAATCCAGCAGCCAAATACAAGAGAAGCTGCTCAGCCAGGCTGTGGATCCAGTGCTGATAAATCAAAATAAAAAGTATCAAACCAAAATGTTGCAAGAGAATATGAAGAATGTCACAGAAAATGAAAAGTAGTTCTAAAATACCATTTGCTTAATACTGAATATTAGCTCCATATTAACCTGATTTTCTGCAATATCTTTTCCAGCCTGCCACATCAACTCCTGATTTTTTTACTGTGCTGCATTTTCCTGGACAAAGGTTTGTAGTATTTAAAACCAAGCAAGTAGGGATAGTATAAGGGGGAATGGCTTTAAACTGACAGAGGGGAGATTTAGATTAGATTTTAGGAAGGAATTCTGATGGCTGCCCCATCCCTGGCAGTGTTCAAGGCCAGGCTGGACACAGGGGCTTGGAGCAACCTGCTCTAGTGGAAGGTGTCCCTGCCCGTGGCAGGGGGCTGGAGCTGGATGAGCTTTAAGATCTTTTTCCAACCCAAACCAGTCTGTGGTTCTTTACTTCATGTTTGCTATGTTTATGCTGCTGTATCCTTGTGAAGTTCCTAATGTCTCATGTCGTCTTTAGAAGGATTTTCCATGCAGCTTCATTATCAGATATAACAGATTAAATGCTTGTATGGAAAACAGCATAATGGCACATGTAAATGCTACTAGGGAGAGGGATGGGCAGAGACTTAAAGATACGCATAAATCCTAGCAACTGTTTGAAGATGGTAAAGCAGCAGTTCAGAAACACCAGTTGTCCCACATCACGAACTACTTCACAAAATGTGTTTTTCACACTTCAGGCAGCCAGTGCAAACCCAGTTTCCAGCAGCTCCTTCAGGCCCTCAGCGACCTGCAGTCCCACCTAGACCAGCTGCCTGAAAAGTTCCTTGGGAACCCTCATCCAGTTCTGACGAGGAATTACAGATTGCTGTCCTCCAGTCCTCTCCTTGCGCAGCCAAAATGCCTCCCGAAAGCACATACCTCTGGAAGAGACTTGATGCCATGAGGCACTGAACATAGATTTTGTCACATCCATTATTCTCCTAATTGCTGCTGCATTCGTGCCTCTTCTACCTCACCTCTTGGGTTTTCTTTTTAAATCAGAAGCCTGAAGTTCAATTCCTGTTAGATGAAATCTGGAAGGTCAGAGAACAGCACTTTTGTAAGTGCAACCTTACTTGCAGGCCAAAGAAAAATTGCTTCAGTTATTTAGGCATAATTTATGCACCTCTAGTCATAGACTGCTGTGCAAATTAGAATACAGATGGACCCTGTGGGAAGCCTGCAGCCTGTCTACCTCCTGGGTCATCTTCTTGGCTGTTCACTGCCAGGGATGCAGCCATTCCCTGTTCCCCACAGGCTCGCAGCCTTGGCTTCCATGCAGCACTATCAGAGCTGAGATATGGAGCCCACCTCTCACCACCTGCCACCTGCGGTACCTTCCACTTCAGGTAGTTGAGCAACCTGCTCTAGTGGAAGGTGTCCCTGCCCATGGCAGAGTGTTGGAACTGGATGAGCTTTAAGGTCCCTTCCAAACCAACTATAAAATAACATCATTATCAGGACACCAACAATGGAAGGAACCTCTGTAGATAATGGACCTGAGCCTCAAAGGAATGAGCCATCCTTGTTGTTACAGCAAATGTGGTGTATCAGGGAGAACAAGATACACTCAAACAGTGGTTTAATGTCTGCTGGTTATCACAGTACGAGATTCTTAGTAGGAACTGACTCCACTGCAGAAGCAACAGGTAACTTTCCTCACTCTAAAGGGGACGATTGGGAAGTGGTACCGCTTCGGTAAGAACACACACACTTTGTCAAAATGGGAGCTCATGGAAAAGCAGCCACTACGAGGAGAAAAACCCAATGGCCATAAGGAAGCTGTGGATGCTGGTCAGTCTGTACATCAAACCCCACGCTGACCATGCTCCCCTGTGAGGAACTAGCGAAAAGGGGGAATAAATTCCTGAACCACCTCACTGAGATGGTATTTCCAGCTCCCTCAATGGCCATTTCACTGAAGAACTGGATGGAAGAACCCAAAATACACAGCGGGTGCCATCAGCAGTGGCAAGGAGGGTCTTCCAAAGAAAGCATCCTTATTTCCTCAGAACCTGCAGTTGTTATCTTTAAATATTACTATCATTTACACCTTGTAAGTAAGCATGAGATTACATTATTATAACTTCAAATAAATCGCCACGCTCAGAACACTCAGAAGTATCTTGATTTAATGATAACCTAAGCCACCACCGGGCACAGCCGGGCTCTCTCATTATCCCGACGCTTCCGGGGTCACTAAAACCTATTATCGAGTTTATTATCAAACCCAACGCAACTAAACGCGGTTGTTTCCCGCACGG